TATTTTGATGTATTTTTTTCACATGTGGTATTTTTTGTGTTTTATTTCATAGTTGGTATGTTTGATGAATTTATATCACAGATGGTATATTTTGATGTATTTATTTCACAGGTGGTATATTGATCTATTATTTCACAGATAGTATATTTGATGTATTTATGTCATAGGTGGTATATTTGATGTATTTATTTCATAGGTGGTATATTTGATGTATTTATTTCATAGGTTGTATATTTGATGTATCTATTTCACAGGTGGTAGGTATATTTGATGTATTTATATCACTAGTGGTATATTTGATGTATTATTTCACAGATGGTATATTTGCTATGTTTATTTCATGGTTAGTATGTTTGATGAATTTATACCACAAGTGGTATATTTGATGTATTTATTTCACAGATGGTATATTTGATATATTATTTCACAAATGGTATATTTGATGTATTTATTTCATAGTTGGTATGTTTGATGAATGTGTATCACAGATGGTATATTTGACGTATTATTTCACAGATGGTATATTTTATGTGTTTATTTCATAGTTGGTATGTTTGATGAATTTATATCACAAGTGGTATATTTGATGTATTTATTTCACAGGTGATATATTGATCTATTATTTCACAGATAGTATATTTGATATGTTTGTTTCATTGTTAGTATGTTTGATGAATTTATATCACAAGTGGTATATTTGGTGTATTTATTTCATAGGTGGTATATTTGATGTATTTATTTCATAGGTGGTATATTTGATGTATTTATTTCATAGGTGGTATATTTGATGTATTTATTTCATAGGTTGTATATTTGATGTATCTATTTCACAGGTGGTAGGTATATTTGATGTATTTATATCACTAGTGGTATATTTGATGTATTATTTCACAGATGGTATATTTGCTATGTTTATTTCATGGTTAGTATGTTTGATGAATTTATGCCACAAGTGGTATATTTGATGTATTTATTTCACAGATGGTATATTTGATGTGTTTATTTCATAGATGGTGTATTTGATGTATTTATTTCACAGGTGGTATGTTCGATGAATTTATATCACAGGTGTTATATTTGATGTATTAATTTCATGGGTAGTATATTTTATGTATTTATTTCACGGGTGGTATATTTGATGTATTTATTTCACAGGTGGTATATTTGATGTATTTATTTCACAGGTGGTATATTTGAGACAGAAATCTTATCAGGAGAGGACAGTCGATTTTTTCAAGGCAGTTTAGAACAGTACTGGAAACAGGTATGACAATTTCATTGTTCTTCATATAATTACATATTGATTATAGTTGAAACAGATATTTAAATTTACATAACCAGATGAATGTACGTACAATTCCTAGAAAACCTTGGGTTCAGCTACAATAGACAAGTTCTGGATTCCCTGGTTGCTTAGCTGCCAACCCTGATGTTGACTCCGGTCAACAGTGATATGCAGCTTTAGGCAAATATTTTACGATAATCAGCTTCATGTGGTTTGTGTATTGTAAGCATTTTTGTAATGTAGCCGTCAGAAACTCAAATATGAAATACTAAATGGACGATAAAAAGTAATTACAAATTTGAATGTTAGTAGTGTACCACCACAAATATTACCGGTATATGGAATTAATTTAGAGGAAAATTTAAAATAAGAAAACTATTGAAGGTTGTTAAATTTTATACTTGTACGCTATCAAGTATGATAAGATATGTCAGACTACATCTGGAATGTACATCAGTTGAGTACCTGAAATCCTAGGTTATTATGGCTTTATCTCACCCTAATTCTCTGTCTTCCTTCCTATCTTTCTCTTTCCTTACATCAAGATCAAATACTTAGCTTTGGGTTTTCATGAGGTAGATACTTGGTGTTTGCATGTGACTCACATTGACCTTGCACTTTTATTGCATCATCAGATTGAAAAAAAAAACTGTACAACGTTAATAGAACCAGATCTTGTTTATAACTAACGGATTTGTGGTTGTGTTACACATTATATTTGTATGTTAAGAAGACAGGCAAATTGCTGCAAAATACTCAAATACAGAATTTGGATGTTTTATTTTCATTACCATGGCAACAGTTCTTGTTATGTTTCAACAACAATTTGCCTGGTTCCCAGTCCAATAAAATGTGATGTAATAACAGTGTATGGTTGGCACGTACTGTTAAAGTTGTATTATCTTCTCAATTATTTGAAATCTTGTATGAAGCCATGACCAAAATCAGTATTTACAGCTTAAATGAATTATGTATGGCGGAATTTTGCTGATAAATTTTTCTTGACAAACAAACATAAAATGCAGTTCCACATACTGCTTTAACAACTAGGAATTATAAAATTTTCCATGCTCAAAATTGGACATAGTGGCAACAGATGATAAATTTAGAAGGAGAGGGTCTAAATGCCCAGGTACAGGAAAACGTACGTGGCAAACCATTTCTATGTGGAATGCTTCACAAAGAATTTTGATTTATTAAGAAAGCCGCATTCAATTCGTCAGTTTCATGTGCGATTCGGTTGATTTTTAATAATGTCACTTTAAGATGATGAAATCGCAATCACAACCTGAATCGACGAAAACGTTTGGTTATTTGCAAACATGTTCTACCTGGTGATGTGTTGCGATTGCTGTAATTGTTTTTTGGTATACGGCATGGCACATACTGCTTCTTCCGTCAAACACTACAAATCATATAAATCTAATAATACAACTTTAATGGTTCCTTTTGTTGTCATTAGTTTTTCCAGTATTAGTGCTACTTTTGTGCTATTGATTGTGATTGTATGCATACATTTGTAGTAATGGACGTGAGAAGCTACTCTTCTAAATGATTGTTATTTGTTAGCATATTGACTGCTGCATCACAAAACTTTGACTTTTTGTGTCGTTGATGCTTTGATCAGTGAGGTATATTCATATCATTGTTTGTGTGCAGAATCTGATATGTGCTTGCATATAATCACATTTTTTCATCTTTGCTTTCTCACTATTTGCTTTATCTGTGTAATTTAAATCATTTTTATACATGTACTATATAAGATGATTTTTTTTTCAGGGCTTGTTATTTCTTCGAAATTATTACTTGACACTTATCTCTGATATTTATTTAAAGTTTGTCTTGTTTATTTCACTTTATTACGGCTTTAGTCTAAAGTGATATATGACCTATATATTGTCATACAATGTGATATATTTCATGTAAATTAGTGTATATAATGATTTATTGCATTCACTTTCGTGTGTCTGTCTGTGCTGCCGTTCCAAAACAAGATTTCGGTCGTGCATGAACTGATATTGTTCAAACTTGGTACAAATATCTAATCTAACATAATAGAACCTTGATGTTCATCATTGTTTTTTCATTCGTTCTTATTTAAGAAGTTTGTCTTGTAAGAAAAATGCATCAGGGTCACTGTGTGTGAAATAAAACATGCTTTATGTGGATGGATTTTGTTCAAATATGGTGGTTATGGTAGCTAGAAGATTTGCCAACTGAAACTTCAATTCGTGGCACATTCACATATTACATACTGTAAAATGACTAATTTTCACTTTGTTTAAATTTCGCTGATTTACCATTTCAGGCATATTCAGTACGTTTTAAATTCACGGTTTTATCATTAAGATAATGTGTTCTATGCTAAATTTTACATATTCACTGGGTTTTAATTTAGCGCATTTTCCAGTCAGCGAAATAAGCAAAATTAAAACCCAGTGAATAATTAACCCTTTTACAGTATCATGTGACATACATATGTCTATATAATCTTACAATATACACTGGAAACATACAACTTGTTAATAAATAGTTTTGTTTTTTGTGAGAAAAATATCATTTGTACATGTATATTATGTACCTGTATGTTCATTGGTTTGCATATTTCTGCATGCATAGCCTCTTTTATCTTTCTCATGAAAACCACATAATTAACATTTTTTTCTTTTTTTTTCATTTAATTTTGTCTTACTTCTATAAGTTGTCAAATTTGTCATTGTATTACACATGTCTTATATATATATTTTATGGCTATTCATTTTAAATTTTTCTATTTTGTTTTTTTTCTCAGCTTTACAATTTAGGAAAAGATGGTGCTGTCCCTGTTACAGGGTTAGAAGTGGAAAGAGTACCCGCTAAATCACAGACAGAAAGAAAATATTTTATCATGGCAACCACTCCAGGGTAAAGTCAAATTTTACATCATTTTTGTCATGATTTTTTTATGTCAGTTACCAATTTTGTGCTAACAGAATTTGCAGCTTTTTTTGTTCTTCTCAAATCAATTTGATCAATATATTCAGTATTTGTTGAAATTAGATTCATCTAGTTATTAAATTGAATCATCAAATTTAATTGAAATGCTTTCTTATTATTATTTAGCAGCCATTTCACCTTTTTCAAAATACGTCAAAAATGCTTGAAAATCTTCTTCTTCAGAACCAATTGATCTGAAATTTGTTTTTTAGCATCCATGTGTAAAGTGCATTGAAGTTTTAAATTGTGTTTATGGTTGGTCATGTGGTTTAGCCGCAATTTAGCAACAACTGCATGTAATGACTACTTCATAGCACTGCATAACAAAAAACAACCTCATACTTGACCTTAAATGCATACCATCCACATCTACAATATCAGGTCTTACAATACCCTGCTGATGCTGCTTGCGGCTTTAATTATATATGTTAATGTTGGCCAGTTTGTAGTGTGTGTTTCAGTGTTTGTATTTCTTGTTTTCATAGGAGGCTGTATCAGTTTATTGGCATTATACCAACATCAGCGGAAGCTCCAGTCTTTTCATATGTCTTTCAGAATTATGAGGATAATCCAGGTGAGAATTCTCCTACAAAATGGTACAGAATCTTTCAGCCTATGGGAGGCTCCTCACACAAAAAAAAAAAATCTACTCTGAATTACTTCAATTTTTCATTTAACTAGCTGTTAACACAAGACACAGCTAGGACAGTGATACCAGTATGAGAGACTGACCATATGTAGTAACCTGTTTATTTATGACATTGCCCATGGCATATTGTTTAGCACGTTCACCCATAATTGCGAAAATTGTGGGTTTGAATTCCATAGTTGGCTTTTAACTCAGCAGCAGCAGTACCTTCTGACAACTTCAAAGGTTCATATGAAAACTGTGTGCTTTTTTGAAGGGTCATAAAGTTATCGGTTCTGTGTAACCTCAATGCATGTAAAAAGAATCAGTTGTTTTTGTCGCAAATAATAGTGGTTTCTGCGGGGCATCTAACATCTAGTTACAGCCCTAAAGGCTTTAGAAGGGAGTTTTTTGTCCCACCTCCTTGAATGTGCTACCTCCAAATCCTGCACTAAAATCTATATAATTACATAATAATAATAATAATAACTTTATTACGCCATATTGTGAAACTACATCTCAATTTTAGCTAATTGTAATAAAAGTTACATGTAGTTGCTGCAATATTGTTGTGTCTATACAGTTTGCAGTAGGGGCCCATATATTGCTTTATTCATTTCCTGCAAATGATGGCCCCATTCCTGAAAATGGGATGAAGGTGTACTCAGATTAATATAGTATATGTTTTATTTGTTTCATGATGGACCCCTTTAACACTGAAAATAGATGAAAGTGTACTCGGATTAATACTGTATATGTTTTTGTTGTTTCAGCTAGCTTTTTGGAACTGCCTGGTAACTTTGGATACAGTGAGTTAAAATTGTACTCTTTGAAACATCGGGCGTCACCGCAGAGCTTTGCGTGGATGACAGGTAAGGATGCCATGTGTGGAGTAATACTTTGAGATGATATAGTGTAACAATGCTTCTTATAAATACTGTATGTGTGTGAAAGCTTAACATTAGTCAGAACATGATTAAAATAATTTAAATAAAAGCAATCCTACTTCATAGAAATATTTACCGGGGTATTTTAGTTATTTGTGTGTACTCACATTCATCAGGAGAAAAAAATGTGCGTCACTGGACAAAGGATTACTTGCTACGTATCTTTATAGGTCCTGTGATGAACCCTTAATAGTCACACGTTCTGGTAATTTCTGGCGGGACAAATTCAATGTCAGTGAGAATTCTTGATTATTTTCCCCAAAATGCAAACAGCTGTCATTGAGCATTTAACATCACAGAAATGTAGATATAATATTAGAAATCATGGATGTTATAGGACAACAATCTCAGAAAAGTTCCAGCATGTGTGACCTTTAGGGGTCGTGCATAATTGTTATTCAGGCTTATACATTTTGCGTAGCATTTCCGATTGTGCATATTGTAACCACTTCCCATGTGCTAAAATCAACTTGTGTTCTTCTGTACATGTAAGGACCCGGTGTGTATTATGGTAACATGGATTACAGCGGTCAAACAAGAGAGAACGTCACATCAGAAAGTCGGCTGTTACAATATCCACTAGAGGAAGGAGAAAAATTCATACCGCCTAAATCTATGGTTGTTACTGAGTTCCATATACTACTGTTATTCCCAGATAGGTAGGTATAAAGCAGTATTGGTTGTATCACTGTTTCATTGCATGCCTCAGTGGATATCAATAAAGCTGAATTTCATACCGGTAATACCTGTTTAAAGAACCCAGTGGAGCTCTCACTGCTGTAAAACTTCGACATTCATTTCTGGGTACAAGAATTGATACGGTATTTCCCTGTGGCATTCAGCGAATATCCCGACAGTGTGACGTCATACAAGACCGATCGAAAATGCATATCACATCCAAAAAATATTGGTTTCACAATCCAGACTATTGATAGTATTGTTTTATTTCAGGTTGAAAGCAATGTGCGTTCTAAATGAGCAGCTAATATATGAGGACATCTACTCAAAAGTGAGCTTTTTTAAATTGCTAGGTTTACGTGGAAGAATTTTATTGGAACTAAACTATTGCGCCCCCTAACAATTAACAGTAGGTTTGTACAGTGTGTTTATACGAATGTGGCAGATCATGGTCTGATGTTTGGTCTGGTTTGTTTAGAGCTGAGATGAATCAGCACGTTTCTTTATACAGGATTCTCATTTAGACGGTCAAGTGACAAGGGTTTATCAGAGCTGAACTTGGCACAGTAATTCATGCTGGTTTTATCTCAGCTATCATTTAAGTGGATTTATTGTATTAATAAATGTTGGTATTTGATGTCTATCACTGCCCACTGATCCACTTTTATTAGTCCCCGTTCGGACGCAGTCCGAAAACGGGGACTTATGTTTTGCCCTGTGTGCGTCCGTGCGTCCGTGCGTCCGTGCTTCCGTGCGTCCGTGCGTCCGTGATCACCTGTATCTCGAACATGCATGGACCGATTGAGTTCAAACTTCACTCATACATCACACATTATATGGGACATATGCACATGCATTTTTTTCATGATCCGATTAACGATAGCCGAATAGCGGCCATTTTAAGGCCGAAAATGCATCAAAATCGCACATTTTCACCATTCCGGACCCGGATCTCAGTTATGCATGGACGGATTTTGTTCAAATTTGGTACATACATTAAACATAATAGGACCTTGATGCACGTCATTTTTTTTTTTGGATCGGGTTCGAAATGGCCGACTGGCGGCCATTTTGTTTTAAAGAATTCAGTTCTGGATCCGTATCTGAGACATGCTTGGATTGATCGAGTTCAAACTTCACACACACAAGGTACATCATGTCACAAATATGTATGTGCATTTGTTTCATGATCTCATTAACGATAGCCAAATGGCGGCCGCTTTAAGGCCGAAAATGCATTGAAA